ATTTTGTTAAAAACCTGTAAAATAATTGTTCATTTAAATTAAGAAATTTTATCTGTTTTATTTATTTCCTGCCATTATAATAGAATAGAATAGAATAATTAAAACATTATGAATGAACTCCCATTTCCTTATACTGTATATAGTATACATCCAGTATATATTGTCGAGTTCTCATTGGATATAACTGGTTCGGTTATTCAAACTCATGCCATGTCATGAAAATTAAAAACGTTACTTGCAATTTTGGCTTGCTCTAAACACAGACCAAAAAGGACAATGTGTTTGGACTGCCTAAATACAACTGTGATTCAAATACAGAATGACCAAATAATGTAAAATTGTTGGTTTTGCCACCCTTAAATAACACTGGACAAAAACCATGGTTTTATTTTTGTTGTCTTAAATCACATTGGTCAGGACAATGTATTTATGTTAGCTTGTCTCTGTAAACCACAATCTGAGGGCTGGATTGTGCTGACAGCAGTAACAGAGAGCAGCTTGAGAAGCACAGAGAAATGTCACATGTCTGCCGCGAGAGATTTTATATAAGGCTGTGCCATCCAGGTGAGGATGGATGTCTCTTTTTTCTCTCTTTGAATAGACTTGAGGATGGAAAGTGACAAAAATGTAAAAGCGTAAGGATTATTTTATGGCTTTTCACTGTCATGTTAAATCATGTTGCAGGAAATCTTTGCCAAAATGGTGACATTACATGGCTAAGAAAGAAAGTTAGAGCCTTGCAAAAAAGAAAAGAAGAAAACAGAGAGAAAGTGGGAGTGACACAGCACGTTGATGCCAGCGTGAGCATGAGGGTTGAGTTAGCAGGGATGTGGTGACCTGAGGGATACTTGAGGTTTCCCACACTGCTGCTTTACTCAGCACTACACACACGCTCAACTAACTAAGCTTCCCATAGACTTCTATTGTTCTTACGCTATCTAAATTACGCTAATTATATTTACTGCAGACTAACCCCAACCCTAAAATAAAACTTGTGGTATTTTTAGAAGAGAATAAAGACATTATTTACTCTGAATTTTTCCTTTTCAGTGCTTCCTCACAGTGAGGTTTGTTAAGATTTAGTTAAGGCCTGGAGACATTTTTCATTGTTTTTGTGCTCTGAAACATTCTATCTCTTACATACACACAGATTCACACACAGCATACTCTTTAGTGAATCAAAATAGATTCAAATCCGAACTGCCGTGTTTGTTTCTTTTGAAAATACCAGAGGGGCAGAATATGTAACAGAGCACTGTTCAAGTCATTTAAAAAATAAAATTGTCTGAATACTTTCCGTACCCACTGTATATATATATATATATAATATAATTCATGTTTTAATTTTTATATTGAATTGCAACAATTATATTGCAAAATATTTAATATAGATATATAAATAAATCATTTTATTTATTCATAAATCATAATAAATATATAAAATGTGTATATTTTAAATAAATACAATATAATTTATGAATAAAGGGGGTACATCAAATGGCTTAATTTAAATAAATACTTATTTTACAGTGTATTCAAAATTATTTGAAAAGTAAATATTAAAATTATCCATTGACACAGATGTTGGTAAATTTCACACTAGGCAAAATGAATACTTCACTGTTTATTGCTGATCATTTCAAAATAGCCAAATATTGACTTATAATGATTGGGGCGGCGCTACTGGCACATGTGGGCATGGTCACTCTAAAGAAATTACCCAACTTAATAAAAAAAATTGGATTTTATTTCTTCCCATATTTTTAGTTGCCCATCTCGTATATCTGCACATTGGTGTTTTGCCATGTCTTTTAATGTGTGTGAGAAAAATAATAAAGAAAGATCAAGACAATACGAGCAAGAGAGAATATTGAATCTATTAAATGAACCGCACACAGTTCAGCCCTTCAATTCTGATTTATGATGTACCATCTATCTTCATAAATGTCAGGTATCGCTCTCATTGCTCTGAGGCAAATGTGACATTCTGTTCCTCTGATTGTAAGGGAAAATATTAATAATGTGTATACATTTATAAGTGACAGAAATGTGTGTGTACTGACCCTTGGCCCAGTATCTCCTTGATCACCCTACAACACAAACAGACAAGAAATGCAATTAGCAACACATGTGAACTCAAATACTAGATTTTTTGATATTCTGAAGAGGATTTGCGTGGTTTTTGACTGTGTGTGGATGATTGCTAAGGTGTCTGTGTGGTTGTTGCAATTTGTCCGTTCACACCAAAGGTGAAAAAGGTGTTGGAAATGAGATGAAATCTCACTGACAAACACTGCTTTTGATTTACATATAACAGCTTCCTGACCCACTAACAAAATCAGTTAGCTCATTTAATCAGCCTCAGTCATAATTTAATCTGGTTTACTATTTACTATCTATTTAAAGTAACATAACAAGAAAGCATATAAATAAAATCAGGGCAGAGAACGTGCATAACTCTGTTTACTAATGACTATAAATGAGGAACACTGATCTGGGAGAAAAAGCATCCTGATGCTCCATGTTTTTGTTTTACTGTGCATATTTTTTTTTTCACTGCAATCAGGAAAAGACTTCAAGACGGTTTTCATTTAACACAGGTTTCTTGTTTCTCTAATTTGATGCCTGACACGGTTTACATCCCCTCCAAAACATGTGTTTGAAGACAAAAGCCAATGCAAATGAAATTTGTGAGTTGTTTTAGAAATCAGAAAACATCTGCTTGCTGGGAAACGTCTCGGTTACGTATGTAACCCTCATTCCCTGAAGGAGGGAACGGAGACGTCACGTCCCGTCGCCACAGCTCCTGTACCACCGCTGAGCGGCCGGGTCACCGGCTCGGCTCCTCAGCGAAAACCTGAATATGCGCTGCATCTGCTGCCTACTTATACTCACGCTGTGATCAGCAGCAGCTGGATGCAATAATCGCATGCCAATGTGCATTGGCTCGTTTAGTTTACACTCGAAGTAGATTGGTCCCTCTAAGCGAGATCCCAATTCGTCGGTCATCCGACATGACGTCGAGAGTGACCGACTGAAAGGGAACGTCTCGGTTACGTATGTAACCCTCATTCCCTGAAGGAGGGAACGGAGACGTCACGTCCCGTCGCCACAGCTCCTGTACCACCGCTGAGCGGCCGGGTCACCGGCTCGGCTCCTCAGCGAAAACCTGAATATGCGCTGCATCTGCTGCCTACTTATACTCACGCTGTGATCAGCAGCAGCTGGATGCAATAATCGCATGCCAATGTGCATTGGCTCGTTTAGTTTACACTCGAAGTAGATTGGTCCCTCTAAGCGAGATCCCAATTCGTCGGTCATCCGACATGACGTCGAGAGTGACCGACTGAAAGGGAACGTCTCGGTTACGTATGTAACCCTCATTCCCTGAAGGAGGGAACGGAGACGTCACGTCCCGTCGCCACAGCTCCTGTACCACCGCTGAGCGGCCGGGTCACCGGCTCGGCTCCTCAGCGAAAACCTGAATATGCGCTGCATCTGCTGCCTACTTATACTCACGCTGTGATCAGCAGCAGCTGGATGCAATAATCGCATGCCAATGTGCATTGGCTCGTTTAGTTTACACTCGAAGTAGATTGGTCCCTCTAAGCGAGATCCCAATTCGTCGGTCATCCGACATGACGTCGAGAGTGACCGACTGAAAGGGAACGTCTCGGTTACGTATGTAACCCTCATTCCCTGAAGGAGGGAACGGAGACGTCACGTCCCGTCGCCACAGCTCCTGTACCACCGCTGAGCGGCCGGGTCACCGGCTCGGCTCCTCAGCGAAAACCTGAATATGCGCTGCATCTGCTGCCTACTTATACTCACGCTGTGATCAGCAGCAGCTGGATGCAATAATCGCATGCCAATGTGCATTGGCTCGTTTAGTTTACACTCGAAGTAGATTGGTCCCTCTAAGCGAGATCCCAATTCGTCGGTCATCCGACATGACGTCGAGAGTGACCGACTGAAAGGGAACGTCTCGGTTACGTATGTAACCCTCATTCCCTGAAGGAGGGAACGGAGACGTCACGTCCCGTCGCCACAGCTCCTGTACCACCGCTGAGCGGCCGGGTCACCGGCTCGGCTCCTCAGCGAAAACCTGAATATGCGCTGCATCTGCTGCCTACTTATACTCACGCTGTGATCAGCAGCAGCTGGATGCAATAATCGCATGCCAATGTGCATTGGCTCGTTTAGTTTACACTCGAAGTAGATTGGTCCCTCTAAGCGAGATCCCAATTCGTCGGTCATCCGACATGACGTCGAGAGTGACCGACTGAAAGGGAACGTCTCGGTTACGTATGTAACCCTCATTCCCTGAAGGAGGGAACGGAGACGTCACGTCCCGTCGCCACAGCTCCTGTACCACCGCTGAGCGGCCGGGTCACCGGCTCGGCTCCTCAGCGAAAACCTGAATATGCGCTGCATCTGCTGCCTACTTATACTCACGCTGTGATCAGCAGCAGCTGGATGCAATAATCGCATGCCAATGTGCATTGGCTCGTTTAGTTTACACTCGAAGTAGATTGGTCCCTCTAAGCGAGATCCCAATTCGTCGGTCATCCGACATGACGTCGAGAGTGACCGACTGAAAGGGAACGTCTCGGTTACGTATGTAACCCTCATTCCCTGAAGGAGGGAACGGAGACGTCACGTCCCGTCGCCACAGCTCCTGTACCACCGCTGAGCGGCCGGGTCACCGGCTCGGCTCCTCAGCGAAAACCTGAATATGCGCTGCATCTGCTGCCTACTTATACTCACGCTGTGATCAGCAGCAGCTGGATGCAATAATCGCATGCCAATGTGCATTGGCTCGTTTAGTTTACACTCGAAGTAGATTGGTCCCTCTAAGCGAGATCCCAATTCGTCGGTCATCCGACATGACGTCGAGAGTGACCGACTGAAAGGGAACGTCTCGGTTACGTATGTAACCCTCATTCCCTGAAGGAGGGAACGGAGACGTCACGTCCCGTCGCCACAGCTCCTGTACCACCGCTGAGCGGCCGGGTCACCGGCTCGGCTCCTCAGCGAAAACCTGAATATGCGCTGCATCTGCTGCCTACTTATACTCACGCTGTGATCAGCAGCAGCTGGATGCAATAATCGCATGCCAATGTGCATTGGCTCGTTTAGTTTACACTCGAAGTAGATTGGTCCCTCTAAGCGAGATCCCAATTCGTCGGTCATCCGACATGACGTCGAGAGTGACCGACTGAAAGGGAACGTCTCGGTTACGTATGTAACCCTCATTCCCTGAAGGAGGGAACGGAGACGTCACGTCCCGTCGCCACAGCTCCTGTACCACCGCTGAGCGGCCGGGTCACCGGCTCGGCTCCTCAGCGAAAACCTGAATATGCGCTGCATCTGCTGCCTACTTATACTCACGCTGTGATCAGCAGCAGCTGGATGCAATAATCGCATGCCAATGTGCATTGGCTCGTTTAGTTTACACTCGAAGTAGATTGGTCCCTCTAAGCGAGATCCCAATTCGTCGGTCATCCGACATGACGTCGAGAGTGACCGACTGAAAGGGAACGTCTCGGTTACGTATGTAACCCTCATTCCCTGAAGGAGGGAACGGAGACGTCACGTCCCGTCGCCACAGCTCCTGTACCACCGCTGAGCGGCCGGGTCACCGGCTCGGCTCCTCAGCGAAAACCTGAATATGCGCTGCATCTGCTGCCTACTTATACTCACGCTGTGATCAGCAGCAGCTGGATGCAATAATCGCATGCCAATGTGCATTGGCTCGTTTAGTTTACACTCGAAGTAGATTGGTCCCTCTAAGCGAGATCCCAATTCGTCGGTCATCCGACATGACGTCGAGAGTGACCGACTGAAAGGGAACGTCTCGGTTACGTATGTAACCCTCATTCCCTGAAGGAGGGAACGGAGACGTCACGTCCCGTCGCCACAGCTCCTGTACCACCGCTGAGCGGCCGGGTCACCGGCTCGGCTCCTCAGCGAAAACCTGAATATGCGCTGCATCTGCTGCCTACTTATACTCACGCTGTGATCAGCAGCAGCTGGATGCAATAATCGCATGCCAATGTGCATTGGCTCGTTTAGTTTACACTCGAAGTAGATTGGTCCCTCTAAGCGAGATCCCAATTCGTCGGTCATCCGACATGACGTCGAGAGTGACCGACTGAAAGGGAACGTCTCGGTTACGTATGTAACCCTCATTCCCTGAAGGAGGGAACGGAGACGTCACGTCCCGTCGCCACAGCTCCTGTACCACCGCTGAGCGGCCGGGTCACCGGCTCGGCTCCTCAGCGAAAACCTGAATATGCGCTGCATCTGCTGCCTACTTATACTCACGCTGTGATCAGCAGCAGCTGGATGCAATAATCGCATGCCAATGTGCATTGGCTCGTTTAGTTTACACTCGAAGTAGATTGGTCCCTCTAAGCGAGATCCCAATTCGTCGGTCATCCGACATGACGTCGAGAGTGACCGACTGAAAGGGAACGTCTCGGTTACGTATGTAACCCTCATTCCCTGAAGGAGGGAACGGAGACGTCACGTCCCGTCGCCACAGCTCCTGTACCACCGCTGAGCGGCCGGGTCACCGGCTCGGCTCCTCAGCGAAAACCTGAATATGCGCTGCATCTGCTGCCTACTTATACTCACGCTGTGATCAGCAGCAGCTGGATGCAATAATCGCATGCCAATGTGCATTGGCTCGTTTAGTTTACACTCGAAGTAGATTGGTCCCTCTAAGCGAGATCCCAATTCGTCGGTCATCCGACATGACGTCGAGAGTGACCGACTGAAAGGGAACGTCTCGGTTACGTATGTAACCCTCATTCCCTGAAGGAGGGAACGGAGACGTCACGTCCCGTCGCCACAGCTCCTGTACCACCGCTGAGCGGCCGGGTCACCGGCTCGGCTCCTCAGCGAAAACCTGAATATGCGCTGCATCTGCTGCCTACTTATACTCACGCTGTGATCAGCAGCAGCTGGATGCAATAATCGCATGCCAATGTGCATTGGCTCGTTTAGTTTACACTCGAAGTAGATTGGTCCCTCTAAGCGAGATCCCAATTCGTCGGTCATCCGACATGACGTCGAGAGTGACCGACTGAAAGGGAACGTCTCGGTTACGTATGTAACCCTCATTCCCTGAAGGAGGGAACGGAGACGTCACGTCCCGTCGCCACAGCTCCTGTACCACCGCTGAGCGGCCGGGTCACCGGCTCGGCTCCTCAGCGAAAACCTGAATATGCGCTGCATCTGCTGCCTACTTATACTCACGCTGTGATCAGCAGCAGCTGGATGCAATAATCGCATGCCAATGTGCATTGGCTCGTTTAGTTTACACTCGAAGTAGATTGGTCCCTCTAAGCGAGATCCCAATTCGTCGGTCATCCGACGTGACGTCGAGAGTGACCGACTGAAAGGGAACTGAGATCGGAAACAGAACGAACCTTTCTGTGTGTGCCGTACAATATTGAGAAAAAAAAAGAGATACTAAATGTACCTTATCTCCTTTTGGTCCTGGCAGCCCCTGAAATAAATGAGTTGGGTGTAATGATTAGACAGATTGTCCAAAATGAAAAATTGATATGACAAAAGTCTAAAGGAAAATAGTTTAGCATAGTTCAAAAAAATACCATGTGAACCATAAGTCATTCACTAAGAGTCTTTAGTGTCTCGATGTCCTCTTTTTCAAAGTAATCTTTTTCCCAAATAAAAGTACAGGCAGCACCTCACATCTGCAGTAGATATAGCTGTATTCTTTGATCTTAAAAGTCATTTGCAAATAACATGATCAAAAGTCTGGGAATATGATGAACGTACAACTGACCGAACATAAAGAAGATGGTTTGAGTGAAACTATGTGAGTGGAAATGATAGGGAAGAGAGTCTATGGCAACATTCACACCACAAGACAAGTGCCAAATTCACATTTTCTGCTCAAAACTTTCATTTTTATGAGCTTGTTCACATGACCTTCTCGCTGTGACCCATATCAGGCATTGGTCTGCACTGACAATGCTTCTAAGCTGATCTACATGTGTAAAACACATTGCTTTGAAAAAAAAAATAGAGGCATAATAGAGGCAATGCTAGTGAAGCTGATGCAAAGTGTATGTTGAATAATTATGAGGCGGAGGAGGTGAAAAAAGGGGAAATTGTAATAATGATGTAAAGGAATACTCCAATTAAAACATATTTTATTTTTTTAATCAATAGCAGTTTTAACTGTAAACTGTTTTAGTTTACATACACTGCCGTTCAAAAGTTTGGGATCAGTAAGTTTTTTAATGCTCATCAAGGCTGTATTTATTTGATCACAAATACAGAAAAAAGGTCATATTGTGAAATATTATTGCAATTGCAATACTATTTTAATATACTATTTATTTCTGTGACGCAGTGCTGACTTTTTATCAGCCATTACTCCAGTCTTCAGTGTCACATGATCCTTCAGAAATCATTATAATATGCTGATTTGTTGTCAGTGTTGATAACGTTGTGCTGCTTAATATTTTTTGGAACCTGTGATACTTTTTTCTTTGATGAATAAAAAGTTAAAAAGAACAGAATTTATTCAAAATAGAAATCTTTTCTAACAATATAAGTCTTTTATCCATTTAACACATCCTTGCTGAATAAAAGTGTTAATTTATTTAAAAAAAGAAGAAAGAAAAAATTGACTGACCCCAAACATTTGAATAGTAGTGTATATTGTAACACAACATTTCTATTTTGAATAAACACTGTTCTTTTGAACTTTTTTTATTTATCAAAGAATCCTGAAAAAAAGATCACAGGTCCCAAAAATATTAAGCAGCACAACTGTTTCCAACATTGATTAAAAATCAGCATATTAGATATATTAGATTTATGAAGGATCATGTGACACTGAAGACTGGAGTAATGATGCTGAAAATTCAGCTTTGCTTCACAGGAATAAATTACATTTTAGCATAGAATAGAATAGATAATGGTTATTTTAAATTGCAATAATACTTCACAAAATTACAGATTTTTCTGTATTTTTGATCAAATAGATACAGTCTTGATGAGCATAAGAAACTTCTTTAAAAAAACATTAATACATATCTTACTGGTCCCAAACTTTTGTATCTAAAAAGTGAGTATCATTTTCTCAAAAACCTCATAAATAAATAAATAGCTTTAATTAATTAATTTGTGTTTGTTTGGGTGGAATACAATTGAAAACGTTAAATTCCTATAATTACTGTTAACACTGAAGTCACATTGTAGAAACAACATTTTCAGCCTGAATGAGACCTACAGTATGACCACGTTTGACTTTCTTTCATGCGAGTCAAAACAAAACAACTGTCTTTCACAGGAAGCCACAGATGAATGGCATATTGAGGTGGTCTGCTTTCCAGAAGAAGTGGTTTACGTTACATTGGACAAATGGGCTTTCCTTTGGCAGCGCTAAAGAGCGCGACAGGGTTCATAAACGACCGCCTATCTGCAACAGCACAAGCTAACAATGAGGAATTCTCTCCTTTTGGTGTGTAATCCATTATTTCCATCTCATTTGCGGATAGACATACAAGGTAAAAGACACTTTGTGGTGTGTGACCCCCAATCTGAGGTGATAAATGGCTTGAAAACTTAAATAGAGTTTAATCCCCCTGATGCCATGCAAAAATAAAACCATGATTCCTTATGTACACAGTATGAATGAACAACTTTCAAATGTGTGTAAGGGTTTGTAACTTCCATAAACCTACTGAATGAAGCAGCACTTATTTATTTATAATATAAGATGATAACCTTCATGGCACAGTAGAGATTTGAAATTGTATTTACCTGGCTTCCTTTAGGTCCAGGAATACCCTGCAAATAAACAAATCAATTATTATATTTCTATTCAAAAAGAGCTTAGGAGAGCCAAGTCTTTATGATATTGTGGTCTCTAATCATGATTCAGGTCCCTCTTTCAATGTAAGTCTATATCATTTTTTTCAACCGTCAAAAATCATAATTCTGATTGCTTATAAAAGTCACACAATTGAGGCATCATTTATATTCGCAATATAAACAGAGATTTGCAGACTTTGTCAATGGGTTGGTATAAGGTACAAAAGCTAAAAGGCACATCTTTGTACCTTATTTACCCCTAAATGGTACATATTAGTACCTAAAATGTACATATGTGACCCTAGACCACAAAACCAGTCTTAAGTGTCAATTTTTTTAAATTGAGATTTATACATCATCTGAAAGCTGAATAAATACATTGACCCATACAATGTATTTTTGGCTATTGCTACAATTATACCCGTGCAACTTAAGACTGGTTTTGTTGTCCAGGGTCACATATGAGCACCTTTTGAAAGGAAACCACCTCAATGACAGTTTTGTACCTTTTTTCTGAGAGTGTAATGGTTAGTGTTTATGAGCAATAAAAAAAATAAGTAACAATAAGCTTATGTAATTAAATGAAAGAAGCATCAACTTTGAGGCTGCTTCAGTTACAAGCTTCTTCCAAAGTAACTCAAACCATTTGAAAGCCAAATGTCACTCAAAAATTCACATACTACCTTGGAAAGACAATGTCCAGTAATGTGAGAATCCAGAACCTGTTTTCCAAACAGACACACACACACACACACACACACACACACATTCTCATCTCGTCTCTTTAAAGCTCGGGAATACTCACAGGTTTGCCATCCAGACCGAGTGGACCCTGAACAGTGGAAAAAGAGAAAAACAGATGATTAAACCCCAGGAGTTCACCAGACAGCCAGTCATAAAAAGGAAAAGTGCAGATAGACTCTGAAGGGAAGTGTGAGGGGTAAATCAAAAGATGAAGATCAGGAGAGAAATATAGAATGAAATGAAAATGATCATGTTGGGCCATGATGTTATTCCTCTGTTCTTAAGAAGAGGACTGGAGTCAGACCAGTTTCTTTTGACTTATAACCTAAAATCTTGTTATTGAAACCAATACCACCAGTGAGCACGAATGCTAAATTCAAGATTAGTACTGTTATATTAATCAAGTATGTTCACGCACCAGATGGTTTTCATAAAAACGGACTTACAAAAGATTCAAATGCAAGAATAGTCAATGATCTAGAAAAATAGTTGGGCATGTCTAGCCTGGGCTTCTTCATGTGTTTTATTCGTAATACTGGACAAATGTGTGCATTATACATATGGCTAGAAATAAAACATAATCTAATTGTCAGAAGTCATTTCAATATTTAACAAATAAAATTCACAGTAGTCAATTTATTATGTTTTAAAATCAGTTTTAGTCAGACCAGGTAATTAAAAGCTGTGCAGATGTCCAAAATAGAAAGGATGTGCCAAATTGGCAGTATAAAATAGGTTTTATTACTTTTATTTTATAGAAAGCTTCATAGACTGTGTGGGACTGTAACGGGAGCAATCTAGTTTCTAGTGTCCATGGACACTCATCTGAGCAGTCATGCAAAAGGTGACCTTACAGGATTTATTTTTGTTCAGAAGGCGTGATGTCAAAGGTTAAAAGCCCAATTTAAAAGTGTCATGAAGCACCAAGACTTGTTCTAAAACTAGCAGTGTCAGATAAATCACATACTTTTGAATGAAGTGTGGGAGGTCATCAAAATGCCAGAGACCTTTGAACTTTAACACATATATCTGTACAATTTCAGGCCCTTTTTTTGTTGTCCCGAAAGCTAGTTGGACCCTAGTAACAATCCCACATCAAAAATGCACCTTCAGTTTATTTCCAGCTATCTTTGTGTGTGTTAAGGTAGAAAAGAGGGAACATGTTATCCCAAAACAATGCATAAACAAAGTTTTGGAAACAGAGAGAGGGACATAAGCCTCGTTGCAACCTGTGTGTTGGTCACTCAGACTTGTCAACATGCATTTAAATTAAAAGAAATTTTTAAAAACACAATTCTGATAAAAGGTGTCATGGCCCCACAACCCACTGTGTAGCTGAATGGTTGATCAAGCTCCAGAAGATCAAAAGTTAAGTGGATTTGAAAGAATATTGACAGTTACAGATTTAAAAAAGAGTGGGAACAAAGAATCCTAAACTCTGACACAAATAACCATTTTAGCATAAAAGGGTTCTTCAGAACAATGTGTAAAAAACCTTTAAAGAACCCTTGTTTTTTTTTTTTAGAGTGTAGAGTCAAATTGGACTCAAATTGAACTACTGCTTTTACCACATGGAGGAAAAAGAAAGTAGCAATTAAGAAGGAAATTAAGAGAAGTGTAACTACAACATCCACTCTATCTGTAAAACCCAGAACACGGAATTTATAATCTCCCTCTCCCTCTCAATCTGACTGGTGCAGAGCAACAGGTAAGTCTAAAAAAATAGAGGTTGATCAGCTCTCTCATGTTTTGCTGAGTATCATCTACTCCATTTCCCCACAACTTCATGTTTCAAAGTAAATAAAACACAGATTACTGGAGTACATTTGACAAGATTACACCGTTTCAGTGTTTCTACTTCAAAATTTCACTTAAATTCAATGTCTTACTTGATGTTCTGTGTAAATATGAAAATTATGAGTGAAATTCCTTTAAAGTAAAGCCTACACCAATTTCTTTTCAAAGTAGCTTTTCTTTTTAAAGTTTGTATTTGAAACTTGCTTTGATCAGAAACTGTATTGTACATCCTCCATGTCATTCTTTGAGAAAACTTCAAAATAATTGCCATTCAGAAAGCTATACGAATTTGCAGGCCAGAGTTCACCAAATGAAAAATTGGTGCTCGTGTGTTTGCGTGCGTACGAAGTGAACACAAGGTCTAGTGTGACAGGCCCTTCAAACTTCAATGAAGTATCTGTACCCAAAAGTAAGGGAACATCCTGGGCTAAAATAACGAACGCTAAGCTTGCCTTTGAATAAACAGACAAAAGATGTACGAGTCCATTGTGGACAATAAACAATCCCTGTTCTTAAGCGTTCCCAGAGGTATGTTAAGGACAGGACGTTTGTTTTGAGGACGTGCTACAAGCTCTAATCATACATCTGGGAGCGTTTACATGGCTTGCTCTCTGCAGTGTCTCCTCATGCTGAGCAGACACCATGAGCACAGGTCAATGCCAGCGGACTTCCTGCAAGAGAAATGAATGAATCGCCTAAGACGTTTAACTCTGATTTATGAGCATAGTACTCAGAGTCTGAGATCCTTTAAGTTCATCATTGTAAGGAGGAGGTCAGTCTTCCCACTGGTCACTGTTGCTGGGTCTCAATCTGTTGACCCTCAGGGCCGAAGACTTGCATTTGTAATTGAGTAATCCATCAAAATTATTGGGGGATTAAAGGTTTTCGTCCTCAAAAATCCCAGAAACACGACCAAAAAAACAAGCCACTGTTGACTTTTTCATGGACAAACATCACTCACATTATGATCCAAGAATGTACCCTTCAAATTTTGTTATCTGTCTCGCACCTGAAGGTCTATATGGATGCCACACATGAACTAACACAACTCAATTTATGACCCCCTGAAGAGTGAAGGTAACCATGAAAAAATAAAATCCATCCGTTATTCCTAAACCTGCTTTTCATTCCTCTCCCGCAACATACTGATTGGCCAAAGTACAAAACCTCCAAGAAAAAAACTCTCATAAAACAATTAAATGAAGATTAATCCTGGATATTTTATTTTGTTGTGTGCACTGCTGAATTCCAAGGAGGAACAACAGGAAAACATTCCAAAGTAGCACAGATTTACCACATATATTTAACCACAAAGTGCAAAGGAGTGAGAAAGAGGATTCAGATTACCAGTAAAGCCTCAAGAAAATGAAATAATGACTTTTTTGTCTGTTGCCCTTTGCCAGCGTTAAAGGTTTTCAACTTTGCTATAAATCATAAATTCATCACAGGGTAATCGAAACGCTTTGAGTTCAGGCCTACAAAAGCATTCCTGCTAAAATTGGACTTCGTGGTGGGCTCAATGGTGCTTCGTGGGAAATCTAGAGGGATTGTATCAATAGGCCCTTCGAGTCAAATTAAGACTTAAATGTTTTAATCAAAAGAATCTTTCACAGGTTTTGACTGCCTTCACCTACTTAAGAGATTGTGTTTGGGTTGGACAGTGTAGAAACGTCCCATCTTTCATTGCCAATATCTGGTTTTAAGCCTTTAAATGCACTGCAAATTTTCCAGTAAAAATATCTAAACATGATTTACTTGAAGTATATTGCACAAGACATTAAGACTTGTTTTCAGAGAATACATATCAAATTAAATTTGATTTAAGATTTTTCGTATCCCACTTGCAAATGGCCGCAATAAAATGAAGCATAAACCTCATAAACCTAAATTTTAGACAAACAAGACAAAAATACTGAAGTCAGCATGAAATCACAATATTTTGTAAACGTATGTTATAGATCTTATTGTGAACGATTCATCTATGCACGTTTCATTTTTATATTTTTTTAAATATATTTTATCATATTTGTGAAATCAGTGTAATATTGAATCCTGATATTCAAGGAGTACACAAATTGAATAAAATTAGATATTAACTGGATTATGAATTCATCAATGATTCGTCGATTTTTTGACTGAAGAAAAAAAAAAGAGATTAGGTCAATCATTTGGGGAAATGAAGTGCACAGCGAATAGAGACGCATACAATGCAACCCCCCTTGTTGTTCACGTTTGATTTTTCTGCATGAAAGAAACCCAAGAACCACAATCTCATCCCCGTGTGGCTCTGCAGGGAGAGACGACCTCTCATCTGGATCCAATGTCTATGAAGTCTCCACGTCTCTCTGTTCTACTTTCTTCTCTGAAGGGAATATCGTTTATTGGACTCTTTATACTTCAAGTACATGGAAATACTTTGGGATATGTGACATTCATTTCTCTCCCACCAGGCCGCCAAGAAAGATGTTCCTGGATTTCAAAAAAGAAACACTACCATGCCAATATTCATATGACATATTTTGGCTCCAATGTTCCGTAACAAGAATTGTTATACTAGACGTTTTTAGGTAAAATAGATGTGTACATTTTCTGAAGAAAATAAAAGTTCTGTGTGCACTCGTACAACTGGATCTTTCTTAACAAGCAATCTTTATCAGTGGGATGACCATACACCCTCTTTTTTTCAGACATGTCCTGGCTGGGATTTCTAAATGGCCATTCACACGACACCATTTTCAACTAAAACCAGAAAACTTTTAATGCATTTTGGTGACTTGAAAATGCAAACTTTTGAAAATGCATTTCAAAGTGAAGGTTTATGAAAACGATACTGCTATCGTCTCCATGTAAACTACAAACACTCAAATTTGTGAAAACGGTGATGTTATGCGCATTGCGTGTTCAGTTTATAGGTATGTATGTGTTTCTTTACAAAGTGACATCGCCAGCTACTGGCCTGGCATGCATAACACAGCTTTTTTAGTCGTTGAACGAAATCATTTTGACCTTTTCAAAAACGTCTCCATTTTTAGTACATTGTTGTTATGTAAATTGCCTAAAATGTCCAGGTTTTGGCTTTGTTATGTTATTGATGTGCTCTTTACAGTCCTCATACTTTATATGTATTTGATTGCTTTGACTGTTCTCTGTAAATCCCACCTTCTCTCATTTCACGACTGGCCGATTATATATATTGGTCAGACTACTTTTCAGTCATTACCTTCAGCAAGTATGAAAACAATAGGAAAGCAAAGCCTAAACCAGGACATTTATGCAGTTTAGTAATCTTGGCCACAGCATGTTCGGAAAAAAGAGTCACCCTATCCATCACATGCTCAAATCCAAAGGGATCATTTATGAGAGAACCTAAACGACAGTCTCGTGAGAGCCGTTCTCAGCAGCGTCTGCATGTAATACAGTCTGTTTACGATACCGCTAATCAAATCACGGCCTCAAATGAGCACCGACAGCATGTGGGCACCACCTGAGTTTATAAGAACAATGTCGAAGCTTCTACACACACGTTGTGTCCACATATGCGAGTAACATTAACCCAGCGCACTTACAGAACAGATTTAACCTGGATCTACCTGGATTCCATCAAATGTATATGCGTACACTTCCTGTTTAGCTCCTGTTGCTCATCAACTAAACTCCTCAGGGCTTGTGTAACAGTGTAAATTATATTTACTTGAAATCATCTGCTTTTTGTCATTAATAATCCTCGCTATATGACGTAAGTTAACACAAACTGTCTGTCAAACCAGTTTACAGGATAAGAACAATCACGCTGTGAGAGGGAGTAAAGGGGATTGTTTAAAAGATGGCTATTGCTGGTGAATGGAGTGAAATCACTAGCGTAAGTTCCACAGTTGCTAGCCGAAAGCATTTTGAGATTGCGTTGTAAACCGTAAAGGATGTGGATTTGGGGTGAGTTCACACACGCACCTGTCGCTCTGTTCCAGATGCTACAGAGGCTTGGCAGATGCTAATGGACACGCTCCAGTTTAGGAAATCCGATCCACTCACATATAGTAAGCTATTCTACTATTGAGCCCAATGAGCTTCAGCTCCATGCCAAACAAAATGGCAGCACAGCCTAAGTTTTTTTTTTGTTGTCTAAATCCTTTACTCTATATGAGCAAAGATAAGTTAAAGATGAAATGTTATGTAATGTAAAGTTACATTTAATTTGTTTGTGAATATTGCATTCCCATTATTGTAATAAATAATAATAATAATAATAATAATCTATGGTAAAGAAATTCCCAGCTTACATTACAACATATAACATTATCATATAACATTAACATATTACTTTATTATACTATTTTACTAGGAGTGAATATATTTCATTATGCAAATATTGCATTCCCATTAAAATAAATAAATGAATAAATAAAGTCAATTTATTAATTGATTTAATTATGTCTGAGCTATATTTTTATTACTTTATTACAGTAATGAGAATTAGATTTTTTTCCTGTATAATTTATTTTTGCATGTATACATCCACATATACTCATATAATAAACCATACAAAACCATACCTTTTAGGGTGAAATATGACCCAGACTTTTCTTTGTTTCAGTGTGTGCAGCATGTACACACACACACACACACACACACACACACACCTGTCTATAATTAGTCACAGACTTTTCCCGGCAGACGTACAAATCTGGGAAAACCATGAGTGTACCTCTAATACTAATTTGCTGGGCATGACTGACCCAGCCTGGCATAGACTGTTATCTAGAGGCTGGTATACAGCAGATATGCCACAGCATATCAGTACAAACATCACTCTGATTTACTGCAACGATACCAGAGATAATGGGTACAGAGACAGGAAGTGGTAATGTAATAAATAAATCTGCAGTATAATTGGCTAAAGAGGCACAGTAAGGCTTACTCAGAACTCCCAGACAAACATACTCTTATTATTGAACTCACACTTCACGCCACGAGGTGAGTAAGGCCTGTTAACTAAACATCTCTTGATATCTGGAGCCAAACCAACCAAACCAAGGGGTCCACAATTAAGATCCAGACAAAACAAGGTACAAAGCCTCATTCGATTTGTGACTAACCACAATCTGACCCCAGGTTCACCTTGACATGTTCCATAACAGCCTGCTGCTTATCATTCTGCTGTCCGCTGTTCCACTGACAGCCACTAGAGGCCACCAGACCACTTCTACAATAGATCACACAATCAAAACAATGATCCAATTCAATTGGAAATCTGGACCCCAAGAATTGATCTCATGTTTGTATCTACATAAACAGAGGTACTAAAAAATATATACTGACTATTGATTGTTTGACTGGGGCTTGTTTCATAAGTGAAACAAAAGCTTCAATTATGACTTACAGTTTACCAAGCAAATATCTTTTTATTTGAACACAAACAAAGTACTCTAATCAACACCCAGCAATCAGAAAACAATCATCAGATGTGTTGTACTTTAATAGATCAGAGTACCTCTGCCCATATGTCACAGTTCAAATGTTTTTTCTAAGCTCGATTAATTTCTAAATGCCCGACTGCTTTCCCAGTACTTTCCATTTCAAGGTTCAAGAAACCAGGAAATGATAAACTAAGAGTCCTAAGTGTCTCTGGCCTGCTGTCCTGCACCCACGTTTAGCCAAAGGGATGAATCTACAGCGTTTTCAACAGAGAAACACCATTACCAGTGTAACTGAGCCCAGGAGCGCTTTCACTCTTTCCAGGAAACTCAGCATCATTATCGGCCATGTTGCAGAAATAGCAGCGAAAGAGTTCATTCTTCATCAGAGATGAAGGTGTCGATGATGAAGAGTGCGGTAGAACAGTTTGAAATGTTTTAGTGCAGACTCTAGACACTATTGCTAACACACCTCTCACTGCATAAGCTGTGTAATTCATTTTCCTTTTAAAAAAAAAAAATATATATATATATATATATATATATATATATATATTATGACCCAGCTAACAAAAATATGTTCCAAGAACGTTGTGTTTCCGTTAAGTTACAAAATTGTTATTTCGGAATGTTCGCTGAACGTCCAAACCATTTTTTTGTTATGTGAATGTTAGAGAAAACTTTAAGGGAACATTCAATTTTATCATTTTGCAAACATTTTGGGAAAGTTACTTTCGAATGTTACGTAAACCATCTGAAACTTTTAACTTGTATTAAAAGCTGTTTAAATTGTTTAAAAACTGAAGAACGTCCAACTAAAATGTTTCAGAAAACTTCCAAGAATGAAACATTTTCCATGAATGATATCGTATATATTGTATGAATGTACACGTTTTTGTTTTATTGTTTTGAGAACATTATTAAAACAACAATCGTTCTATTAATGTCACTGTAAGAATGTTTATTTATACTGTAACTTTGAGAGATCTTTGCTAGAATATTACCCACAGTTCTGAGAACGTTCTCTGTTAGCTGGGGAGCTGCACAGGTATTTTGTAAGACAGAAAGGAAAAAATTGAGATCAACAATAAATCAAATGGAAGTGATAGAAGCAATTAGAAGAAGAGCTACATAAAATGGAGATTAAAACCCAAGAAAGAAACTAGATAATTTAAAGGACATTTACCGGGTAACCGTCTCGCCCAGGTTTGCCCTGTGCAAAGAAAAAGGAGATATAATAAATAAATATAGACCTACGGTAGATTAAAAAATATTACAAATCTCAAGGTAATCTAAAGAGAATCTATGTTCAGTTTCATGAAAAATTCAGTGTGATAAAAAGTAAACTAATGTAAATTATTCTCATTAACCAATCTGAACTTGAAGAACATACTTACACTTTCTAAAACTTCCGCAAAGTAAATCTCTGTTTTATGTGTTTATTAGTTGGATTAACAGCACCTTGCAGGATTATAAATGAAAACTTCAAGTGTTTTAGGGTTTCTTTACATTGCAATTGACTTCAGAGTAAATAAACTGGTGGACCTCTGCTCTACAGAAGACCAGAAACTAAATGTGAAAGTTAGCAAACCAACCTAAACTGTTAAAATGTTGAAAGCTGTCACATAATTTGACATCTGCAAGCATTAAACAGATGAACAGATGAAATCTTCATGACAGCCTGTTCAAATATGGATTAGAAGCCACATATCTGTTTGCAACAAGGTGTTGATGGCGTGGTTTTAACCTAAATCTAAAGCAGGTGACAGACAGTCTGCAACCTGTTCTTACACTGTGTTACACTTTTGTTGGATACCAGAAATTTAATGCGGGTTTTGAATATTCTAGAACTTTAATATCAGAAGCACCAGATCTTCTAAAACGTTAGACTTTCAGCTGCTCTGAAGTCAATATTCCTGAACTTTGTTCTTTAAGCTTTATTCTGGAATCTCAAAAGAATGTTCATTTTTCAGAAGCTTAAATTTGAAGGTTCTAGAAATTCAAAGTCAGACAAACTTGGTGCAAATATTCAGGATGTATGAAAGATTCCAGAACTTGAAGGCCCTTTCTCAGGTTTTATGACTCACCCTTCAAACGTTTTGTCAGCCTTACCACAATACAGAGCCCATATCTGCCTAATGTCATTATTTTGAAGTGTGAGGACAGGGTACTTACTGGGGGTCCTGAAAAATAAAAGAACAACAACAAACAGACCTTTAAAACAATTCAAATGTTTAATAACACAAAATCACACTTCTACTCTTTTAACAAAAAGGTAAACCTCTAAACCTTTTTTTTTATGTTCTTCGGGTTTTCTGAAATGTTCATCAGGTAGGTGTTCTGACCCTCAGAGGAGACAAAGAAGTTTAAAAGATGTGTTGAGGTTTTATGAGGCAGAAAGTTGTTGGCGTATTGGCGTATTTACTCACGTCTAGACGCTGGCAGACTCTTAAGAGTTTAAAAGATAACATTCATTCAGCACAGTCAAGTTCTGACCATTGTGAACGAAATGGCTTCACCATTTGGAAAGCATTTAGGAGTAAGATGTTGAACGAGAAAAATAATTAAAAGATGTGTTGAGGTTTTATGAGGCAGAAAGTTGTTGGCGTATTGGCGTATTTACTCACGTCTAGACGCTGGCAGACTCAAAAGATAACATTCATTCAGCACAGTCAAGTTCTGACCATTGTGAACGAAATGGCTTCACCATTTGGAAAGCATTTAGGAGTAAGATGTTGAAAGAGAAAAATAATGAGAGTGTGTTTTACGGTTTAATTGAGCACATCAGAATTGTTTAGCAAAATGTTTAATCTTTTAATTGACGAGGGTTCTAATTAAACGAGCACTTTTAACGATTGAACTATCATGGATGTATACGACCAGCCTAATGTTTGCGCTGATTAGACTGCTAAATATCTTCCAGCTTTCCAACCATATTTTCTCCCTCACACTAGAGAAACAAACAGACTGTTGTGCAATGGAGAGCCTCTTCCTCCATCCACCTCCACATTCGACTCTTCCCGCCCGCTTTACGGCCCAAACTACAACAAGCAGGCGCAGCTAAACAGAACCACATCTAGCAGACTTAGTGACAAAACGACCCACTATCTCTATGTAAATAAAGTGCTCTGCCAACGTTTGAAGTTCCTCTCCCAGGGCAGCGGGGCTGGAACAAGTTTGAAAAACAGATGTAAAGAATTGCCATCCTGTCCAAATGCCAGTTGTGTGGGAACGCCGCAAACCCAGATTTAATCGGATATGGTCAGAAGGTGAATATAGGTTCTGCTGTACAAACTGTACACATTATCCAAAGATAATCTTATGGCATACTTGAGGTAATGGTGAGACATCATCTGGGCACCTTCTTAAGCTTCACAAGCTGTACTGATGGCTTCTTCCGCAAGTGATGCGACACTGTATCATTCTTTTAATTAAAACCTCTTTCAATCTGTGCCCTTGAGAACCATGTGTGTCTACAGCACAGCTCACTTAGAAATACATCAGCATCTTTATTTGTATGGCCGAGTCATCATCAGTCTTGAGTTTAATACCTCTGAATCATCTGAGGGTCTACGGTGACTCAAAACCACATTCAGTGAGGACTTCCTCCCAGTCACATCTAATGATTATGAATTAGGGACACTAGTAACAATGTTTATAGAAAAGTGCTAGACATCAAGCATGAGGAACATAAATTAAGAGATTGCACTCACCAGGGTCGCCTCTTCTGCCCATCCGTCCACGTTTCCCAGGAGGACCTGAAGTCAAGAAAGATGTGTAATGACTTAATAAATATCGTACATAAAACTGTTTTTTTTTTCTTCTGATTTTGGAATTCATTTGACTTCCATTTATGAGTCATTACTGAGATTTCTGAATATATGGATTCATTAAAATGATTTTCCCATCAGATGATTGTAGAATCCTGTGTGAATGCAGAGCTGAAGTTGTAATGAACTTTCAAATATACGTCAGTTCCACAAAGAAATGTCTGGGTTACATTAGACAGCACAATCAAATCAAAACTTTAAAACATTTATTGTACATTTTAGTAGATTTTAATTTGATATTATTTTCATGACAATAAAAAAAATCTCATTATAGTAATGCAGCAATTAGCTAAATTTAGTTTTGGTTAAAATGATCTTGTATTTTTATTTAATGTATATTTTATTCGTTTCAGATCAACGACAATTGGTAGACCCCCTTTTAAAGACTCCTGCTGTAATTTTACAAAACCTGATTCTCATTAAATGTAATATAGTAATGAAAATCATCTTACCTAGACAAAAAGATTTTTAATATAAATAATAAAAATTGCATGAATTAAATTCAGTACAACAAATGATATGATGTGTTTTTTTAGAATTGTACTAAATGACATGTTTAAATAATATATTTTTTGTTGTTTTACAGTAATGAATGAGATTTTTTTCCTGCACCAAAACAGCATACTGACAATGGGAGAGGGGAGTTTAAATTTGCTTAATTTTCATTAAAGTGGTCATGCACTGAGAAACCAAAATGTCCTTGATCTTTTGACATATAAGAGGTCATTGCACTATAAAAACTTTGTCGTTAATCTAAAAACAGCTTATATTGAAGGAAGACTGCCAAAACGACAGAATGTGGAATGTACAACTCTACGATGTAATAGCGTGGATAAGCACTGCCTACGCAGCTTTAGATCAACATCACTTCCTGTTTAGCCCCGCCCACCGATTCGCGCACGAAATGTTTACGAGAGAGGCGAATGTGCAGGTCTACGAAACCAAACAATAAAGATTGCTCTGAAGACAACAAGACTCTGTGCAGCGCCAAGTTGTGGAAAACAGCATTTGCGTTGCCTTTCTTCTGATCCTAACATTAGACGTAGTTTAATGTAGTAACAAACAAGGCACAATTCGACGGAGGATTCTCAAAAAGATTGAAACTAAAAGACTATGCTGTGCTCAGTATAATGGATCCAACAGTAATGTCGCAACACAAGCGTGAGTAACTGTTTTCAATACGTGCCACTATTGTGCTTTGTCTCTTCTTACAGATTGTTTGATATGTATTAAGTTATTTATGCGTTTTTGACCTAAATCAGAGCAGTGTACACTGTGTACGAATATACGCTGTCAAACATACACAACTCTTAGCCAATCATAGCAGTGGGCGTTTACTTCTGGGTCTACAATCTGCCACGCCTATTCAAACAAGAGCGTTCTGATGAGGGGGGTTAAAAACAGGACAGAAAATAGCTTATTACTTCTAAATTATGTTTTTCGATTATGTTCTTGATAACATAATTTATAAGTGGACCTCAGAGAACAGTACAAAATAAAAAACAGAGGCCGTTCATGACCCCTTTAAAAAAATAAATGATACAATACAAAAAAATATCATTATTATTATCTAAATATGTAACTATTTTCTTTATGCTAAATATCATTTCTTATTTTTTCATTTGATTTTGAGGTGAAATATGACCTGGACATGCTGTGACAGTTTTCATGAGATTCACACTAACAGAAGTCCATATGATCCAAACTTGACTTGGCAGGAACTTGACCTAGGCAGTAGAAAGGTGTAAAAACAGCACTGCATGTGTGATGCAGAAACCAGGACAATTTCAGCATAAATGATGGAAACAATCTGGATTAGGTGCAAATCCATTGTTCACAGACAAATGCAGATGAAGTATGCATATCAGTGCACCTCGCATCACTTCCTGTTCGTGTATATGTAAGTCAGAACAAAGCGACCAAGGGCATACCTCCCAGACGGTAGCCAGGCCCCCCTCCTCTCTGTTCCTCTGGTTAACCGATTAACCCCCCTTCTCTCTGTCCCCTGGGCACTAAATCACTTCCATCAACCTCTTTCCCTCCTCTCTTCTTTAGGTACTGTGAAATAGAAACCATACCTGAGAGAGGCAGGAGAGGGGGATGCTGGGATGCTAACGAGCTTGGGTCGCAGACACACTTTTCTTGTTGGCATTATTGTTATTGTTCTAGGTTAATCAACCCCTGCTGGTTCAACCCCTATTAGAAAGATTGTCAAGAAAGGGTCTCAGGGTTTCAGATTTTCCCCGGTGCGGTTCGCATTACTAAATCTAGAGCATCCGGCATCGTTATTGGAATGTTCAAGGTACAATTCAACTTAAAGGAACAGTTCAACCAAAAATGAAAATATGCTGAAAATGTACTCACTCTCAGGCAATCCAAGAGGAGGATGAGTTTGTTTCTGTTTTGGAACAGATTTGGAGAAATGTAACATTATGAATCCTTTGCAGTGAATGGGTGCTGTCAGAATGAGAGTCCAAAGTCCAAACAGCTGATAAAAACATCACAATAATGCACAAGTAATCCACACAGCTCCAGTCCATCAATTAACTCTTGTGGAGTGAAAAGCTGTGTGTTTGTAAGAAACAATTCCATTATTAAGACATTTGTAACTTAAAACCATTGCTTTCGGTTTAAATTCAAGTCCTCTATCCATAAAATTGCTTTCTCCAGTTTATGCCAAACGCGTGGCTTTTCACTTCACAAGATGTTGGACTGGAGTTGTGTGGATTACTGTGATTTTTTAATCAGCTGTTTGGACTCTCATTCTGACGGCACCCATTCACTGCAGAGGGTCCACTGGTGAGCAAGTGATGTAATGCTACATTTCTCCAGATCTGTTCTGATGAAGAAACAATCTCATCTACATCTTGAATGACCTGAAGGTGAGTACATTTTCAGCAAATTGTAACTTTTGGGTGAACTATTCCTTTAAACTCTATCTGTGACATGCTGTTGATTAACACAGAAAATACATTCTACACGTCTGTCAGTTTGTAAAAACAAGCTAAAATTAAGTTTACACTCGTAATGAAATTAAAATCTATTCAGCAAACTGTGTACTAACCAGGTGTTTCCTGCAATTTTTCTATCCATAATACATTTAAAATCAGTGTGTGGCAAAACACAATTACAGCAAGAAGTCTTGGTGAGACTTTTTTCCAAAACGTTAAAAAATTCTTATCAACCTCAAACTTTTGAACAATATTGTTTGTGTTAACTTCTAATGATCAACTTCTGTTTATTCCACCATCCTGACCAACATGGCAACCAAACCTGTTTGAAATCAAGCAGTCATACAATTCCATTTACTGCCGCTGAAATTACACACTTCACCTAATTGTTTTAGCAAAAATGAGCTTCACATTACTGCTTTGAAATCTCACCAGGACAAAGTGCACTGTTGACTTCAGTTGTAAATACATAAGTATACAGTTTGTTTTTACAAATTGAGGAACTTGTTGAAGTTATTATCCAATGTAAACACCAGGACCTTATTGATGCTTAAATTAGAATCTGAACTCAAACTTGTATGAAACCTGTAACATTCTTTCCAGAGGTTAAAGGTCACTGTAATAAGTGTATTGGAAGTTGCTTTCTACAAACCTGTCTGCTCTTTAAGATGCACTTTCAGCCTTTATCTTCAAACATTCTCTTTCTATTGCTCTCTCTTTCTCTCATGTGGTCTGTTCTATATCATATACGGCTTTCAGCTCAACTTCCCCTATTGTAATGACGTCCCAGGGTTTGTGTATGATAACACAAATCATTGTCAACATAGTGAAAATAGTGAGCCGTGGCTTCATCTTTGAGCTCTTCTGGCTTACTGCACTACACACTATCACGTTACAAAAGACCAAACCACAACGGCTATAAATACAAGTGTAACTATGTTCTTCACCAGCAGAGCCCATAAACACTATGAGGAACTGAGGCTGACGGCTCAATGCTGAAGACGCCGACGAAAGGGGCCTCTCGTGCTTTTTATCTGTCAGCATTTGATGAACTGTCTCATGGACAATTATCATAACAGTAACAACTGCGAGATTAAAAACTTGAATCTGGATGCAATCGAGGTCTCCGGGGGTTTTAAATATCTCCTATGTTCTCCCCTATAGCTGTCCCGTTACATTAACATTAAGAAATCGGATAATTGAGGTGTATCATTATTCTCAGCTTTGACGATCCAACCGCTCGAATTCCGATCTTTATCCGATCGAGAAGGTCTGGTTCTTATAGTCACGCATAGGCTTGATTTAGCTACTGTGACATTTTGTCTTAAACTAATGAAAACGTCATTGTTTTCCTCCGGCTTTGTGTTGGGTGCAACAACTGTTCGCAATAAGCGTCAACAGTGAAATCACAGAATTCGATCCTCTCAGTTTCTAAACCACAACTGTGTTTTCCTCTCCAATATCCCTCGTTGACAAAATTAAAGTCTAAAAATGGAAAGGAAATTAAATTAATACCAGAATGTGTGTGTGGTTTCTGTTGGGGTTACACTGTGACAACCCTTTGTCCTAGGACATTTTTACGTAATCTGTCTAACAGGAAGTTCACACATTATCCTATTATTCAATTATCCAACACTGGTAACTCAATAAAATAATATATTGAACTTAAACCAGTTCCTCTACATACCTATAGAAAAAACAACCACGAAATGGTTGAAACCACTAACTTTAAATGGGTAGTTGATTAATAACCAGGCTTATTAAAGTTAACCTAACCTAAAACCATTAAAAATGCTACTTGAAATAAAATAAATGTTAACTGAAATAAAATGAAATATGTAAAACAAAAACATAAACTTTTTGCTATCTCCTCATTTTCATTTATTTGAACTTGAAGTATTAAAATAACTAAAACTACATAAAATAAAACTAATAAATAAAAATGCTAACACTTTAAATTAAGGCTCTATTAGTTAT